AACCACACTCCTGTCAGCCCTCCCTCATGGCAGGAGTAGGTGTCGACACCTTCCCAGCTCTGTGGCCAGGACACCACAGCCAGCACCATGGTGGCCCACCATTTTCATCAAGCCAGCAGGGAGCCCTCTGCTTTTTAGGTAAATAACCACCTTCTGCAAAGTCTTGCTCACAGAGAGACACGCCATCCATTGAAGCCTCAGCCAGTTCTTTTTTCCTATGGAGTGACTTTAAAAATGAAAAACAACAGCCTGGAAACACTCCCTCTGCCCCACTGGAAAGGACACGAGCTCAAGGATGATGTCCTTAAGCAAACGAGCCCAGTTGCTTATCCCCGGCGGACTGAGCACCAGCCTGGGGCCTCCCCCAGCCATGAAGGAGCCTCTCTTCCCACCCCAAAGCTAGCTTGGGTTTGGAAACTGGAAAACAAGCTCCTCGATAACTGTCTGTTTCTAGAAAAGCCCAAGATGGCAGTCGGGAGGAGCAGGGGAAGCTGCGCACAGACATGGCACACAACTGGCGACCGTAAAGAAACACTGGGCAGAGACTGGCGCTGGGACCTGCTCAGCCACTTCAATGGATGCGGTCTCCCTTCTCCACAAAAAGTCCTTTGATGAACCGAACGCTCTCTGACAGACAATGCCTGCAGATTGTATTAACAAAACTTTTCACACAGGTTCAAGAATTTAAAAAAAAAACCACCTCAAAACAAAACCCCACACACAGCACACACACTTGTTCCCTGAAACCGATATACCCACGATGAAAACCATCGGCCAGCAGAAAGACCTGCTGCAATCTGGAAGTGAATCCGTTTGAAGAGATAAAAACAAAAGCTTTTCTTAGGCTCCTTTCCCTCCGGTGGGAGAGCTCTGGCTGTCCCTGCAGCAGGCAGCCTCTCTTCTCCGTCTTCCCTCTAGGCAGAAGAGTTACAAATGCTGGAGTTTAACAGCATCTTTTTAAGGACTTTCTCGGTCCGTCGGGGTGTCATCCCCTAGCTCAGACTCCTCCAGCTGAAGAAGCCCCTGACGTTCTGTAATCCAGAAATTATGCACAGTGCACGTTTATCCAAAAACCTTCAGGGAAGGCTTGTTTAAACCACGTCAGCAGAGCAAGCAGCATTCGCTGTATTAAAAAGGCAAGTGGAAAAGTGGCTAAATTTTTGTTAAAACCTCAGCTGGCTACATTGCTACAATTTTGTTTTCAGTAGCAAAGCTAAATTAAGACAGTATTTTCTAACCAGATGACACAGGACGCATGAGAAGTTTGGAATATGTAATGCAGCACCACAAAAATAACTGGAAAGGATGATACAAAACACAGCATGTTTTTTCAGTCTCCAATTTAGGGAGAAAACAGCATTTTGTGTGGACCAAGGCTCTCGGAACAGTTTAAGCTTATGCCAAGAAAAACATATTGCCCACATGAGTTAAAATAAACAAAATCAGACAAACAGAAATACAGTTATGTTTATTCCATTAGCAGTCATAAAACCATATTTAAAATAAAATCTGCCCATGGTACCTCAATATGTAGACTGGTAACTTCTGAAAGTAAATGTCAGGAAGTCACACTTAACTGCATATGAATTGAAAAAGATTGCTTTTTCTCACTGTATCTAAATGAGCCAGGTAGCTCATCATGTTTTATTACAAATTATACTTATTACTAAAACCACATGTAATTAACAAATTCTTCAAATAACCTAGTGGTTTGCTCACATACTATTTCTACAATACAGTAATTTATGTATCTCATATTTTACTCTGAAACAGTATGATACTTGTTTTCCTTAAACGGAGTATCAGGAAAAGTTACATTCATAAAATGGGGGGTATTTTCTAATTTAGATCAGGACTAACCATAATTATTGTAATAACTAATAGCCCTCTAATTCAAATGTAATGAAACTTTAAGTATTGCCACATATTTTAAATGCCTACCCAGCTCCCACAGAGGTGTGAGTAGGCAACAACTCTCCAATATCTTCTACTTTATCCGTGTAAAGAAATTGTGATTTCACATCACTGCTTTAATCTGTTTTCTCTCAGACTGTGATGGCAGAAACTTTACAATAAACATATTCTTAGCCATAAGTGAAATAAAAAGCAAAAGTTCAAGTCAGAAATCTATTTCCTTTGGTGTTACTGTATATTTGTCAGTGTGACATAGCACATTTGAAACCCATAATCATAAAACAAAAATTTACAGCCAAGGTTTAGGGTCTACATCTGTTTCTCTGGTTTTTGTACTGCAATTACCCACTGGACAATTCAGAAAGCAGCACTATGAATCATGTACTGCACACATGTTTGTGCTGGTCACTTTTTCGTTAGTACAAGAGGCTGAGGATGCCATAATATGCTTCACCGAGAGAGAGAGCATTAACTAGAATTAGGATGAGTGCACTGGGCGCACTAATAAAAATTACTTTACTAGAAGCAACAGAGTACTCCTGGAATACTACAGGCATATTTATAGGATGGAAAAATTAAGAAGTACATGCAAAAATTCTCATAAACATACCTCAGGGGAAGTGGACCTTTTTTTTTTCTTTTTTTTTTAATGCATGCATTTTACTATTAATCAAATGTAGCACTCTCTTGAAACAGTTTTGACAGCAGAGTAAATGGTTACTAGTGAATGATGTGTGTGTTTAAGCAGTGAAAGCAGAGACAAAGTGATGTTTTCTTCTACTCCCTAGGCAAGAGCTGACACTAAGCTTGCTGCCTCAGCTTTGATACTCACAGATTCCTTTGTGTCAGTTGCTGGGAGAATCACTGGCAGTTCACTAACCCTGCCTCACACACAGGGGCTTTGATTTTTACCTCTTCATTGAGAATAGATGTTAATATGAAACAGTACTTGTCTGCTTGGAGCTTTTCTTTTCTGTGGTTTTTTTTTTCCCCCCTCAACTGGTGATACAGGGTTTCCAATCTGAAAACCTGAATCCCCCTTCACTAAATGTATTTTTTAGTATTGGAGGATGTTTTCTTCGTGTCTCAAAAACATGAATGATGTCAAAAGATTACGGGGAAGAAAAACACTGGGTCACAAGAGAATAGCTGAATATTAAAACTCCAAGGTAGTCCTGAGGAAATGGGTATCAATCCTGAGCACGAATTGCCCTGAAGAAAATAAAACAGTAAAATTACTGGAATGAAAATGGCACAAAAGACATGGAAAAACATGAATCACAGTGAAATTAAGTCAAAAAGGGGTTTCTTCTGACTCCTATATACTACTTTGTACAGCTCGCAATTACTAAAACCGGAATTTGCACGTAACAGGAAGAATTACTTCAGGCCTGAAATATAACAGCAACTCGCAAAAGACTATTCAGTGCAGAGCAGTCTTTTATTTTAGATGGGAAAAGCAGAGTTCGTCAGCTCCAGACCCAGAACTCGGGCATGCAACCAGTCTGCGAGTCCCTTACTGATAAAGGCTTTTTTGTCTGTTTTAATCAGTGGATATGTATTTGTAAAAATGCCTTTAGAGCTGATTGCTTAACTTAAAGGCTATAAAAATAATTCAACTCCACAAACTTGAGCACACAACCATGTTTCTTAGAATCCATACTGCGTTTTACACTCCTTTGGCCCGGAGCCAGGGGAAGAGAACTGCCCTATATGATAAAGCTGGAAGTGTACCTGGTTCAGCAATCCATTTCTGAGAGTGACTGCTACTAGATCTTTCTAAGGAAAATACAGGAATCCCTAGCAATTGGTGAAGTATAACTCACCCATAGATCCTCTAATAGCCTGTTCTCTA